TATATAGTTTATAATATATTTTATTTATTTTAGTCACTCAAATGATAGTTTATTATTAACTTTATTAGGATAGTTTTTACAGAATTCCATTTAAAACAATAGTTATTTAATTATTTAATTTATTAGTTCGTTTAATGTAAATAGAACCCGGACCAAGTTACCCAAACACAAATAGTGCCTCAGGACAGCCCAGAATGATGTAACAACAACATTAAGAATAAACAAAGCCAAACAAATCCAAAATAGCAAAAGTGCTTTTGCTATATCAAAAGGTGCCTATTTCATATTAAAAGATGCCCATCCTATAGTAAAAGGTGCTTATCCTATAAGGAAAAGTGCTTTTGCCATAGTAAAAGGTGTCTAATCTCTAATTTTAATAATTCTAAGGTGCTTATCCACTATCTGGAAGTACCCATCCACTATTTAAAGGTGCCCATACTATAGTAGAAAGTGTCTCTCCATTAATAAAAGATGCTTTTTCTTAATTAATTACTATATTCTATAGTAAATTAATATACTGAAAAAAGATATATAAACTTTGCCTCTTTCCCTAAGGCAAGAGAACAGTTAGTCCCCATATTTTGGTTGCTATAACCTTGTTATTGTATACTTTGGTCTTAAGAATAGATCCTATTTTTATTTTTGTTATAATTTTGTATTAGAAATAAGTCTTATTTTTAGTATTTTTATATTATTTTTGTTAAGAATAAATCCCTTTTCTGTGATATTTATTTGGAATCATTATATTTTTCTTGAGTTATATATATATTTGTTTTATTTGGGTTATTCTTTTGAGTATTATCTGAGTTAATAAATTTATTATTTGTTTATAAATTTTGTTGGATATAACCTTTTCTTTAAGTGTCGCTATAGCAATAAGTCGATAATATTTTATCTTATTTTTAAACTGTTTTTTTTTATAAATTATATAAACATATTTCTTAACTACTTGTACACTTAGTCAAGTAAGGTAATTTGTTAACCAAAGATCTAACTTGTTATATTATAATATCTTTACAAATTTATTTCAATTTTGATACTTGTATCAAATCAGTTCTTATACTAATCTTTCTCTGACTATTAAACTAGTTAGTCCAAATAGATTATTATATCTAAGCTTTAGGTGCTTTCTGATTTTACTTTTTTTGGTTTTTAATTTTGTAGTATAGGACCTTTTTCTCTAATACGATTTTAACAGTCAAGTTAATAAACTTTTCTTACCTCAAGATTTTTATCTAGTTCTTTAATTTCTGATTTTAATCTTCTGTAATATTATCAAAGATTTTTACTACTTTTTTGCTTGGGTCTTGCCAAACAGGTTTCAAATATTCCAGTTTCTTAGATTTAGATCATCCAAAAGCTTCTATTTTAAGATAATAATACTAAAGCTATAGATGATACTATATATTCAACTGATTATTGAATAAATATTACTAGTACACAAATTTATTTTTTTAAAAATAATTTTGGTAAAATTCGAACTTTAGATCTGCTACTTGGAGATAACAACTTAACAATTACTTTAAATTGTCACATTCTCTGCCTAACTTTAAATCCAGCTATAATCTAAACCTAATTAAAAGGTTTATTTTTTATAAAGATTGAATTGTTTTGATTTATATATTACACCAATTTTGTATTTACATATAGTAGCATTATAATACTATAACACTATAATAATATTCTCTAATAATAATAATAATAATAATAATTTAACTAAGATCTATTTTAATTAGATTATAAATTTATTATTTTGACTATAAAATACTAAACAAATAATGTTTATACTAAATATTTACAGTATTATATACAGTATAGTTATATAATAAAATATTTAATGCAAAAATCTTTATTTTAAAAAAATATTAAATTTGTCTTGTTTTTAATTTTTAACTTATATACAAGGCCTTACCTTAAAATTTAAAAAAAAAAAACTTATAAAATATATAGTATAATATTTTTTAAATTTGAGAATATAATTATAATAAAAGCTAACTATATTTGCATTTTATATATAGCGAAATTATCATTAGATGGTTAAATTAAAATATACTATATTTACAGTATATATTTTTAATAAATCAATTGATTTATTAACTAAAATAAATTTATTATACGTATAAATATATACAAATAGATAAGTACAAAATAAATTCGATTTATAACGATAATATCAGAAGTTTGGCTAATTAACTATCTTAGCAAATACGTATTATTTATGTAAGAATTTGAGTAGTATTATGTGACGCGCATATATATTTTTTTAATAAACAAAACAAACTAAATATAAAATATTATATACAGTATATATATTTAAAATTAAATCAAATAAAATATATACTGTACACATGTTTATTTTTTTAATAGATTTATATTAATTATAATAAGTTTAAATTGTATATATTATCCAATCAATTCATAATGATAAAATACAGTTTATGTTTCACCAATTAAAATATAAACAAGTTAAAAAATTTTGTGTTATCGCCATTATTATATAGTACCAATATATTTTACATTGATGGACAATTAGGGAGATAAAAGAAACGTACAAATACGTAGTTCGTTTCATGAATTTCAAATCGTTCTAGGTTGTGGTTATGCGTGTAATATTTGTAATATAAACAAGCAGCTGAAGAAATAAGAAAATAAATGACAAAATGAATATAATGAATATCACTCGGGATTCTATATTCCGTGTAAATTGTGATTATCAGCCAATACTTATATACAGGAATGCAGGAGTGGTGCACTTGTTAAAAAATGAGTCGCTTGGTAAACCAGAGTGAGGTTGGAATTATTATTGTTTATTATGATGATCAACTTCGCCATCCCTTTGTAAGAACCACCAATGGTTACTTGATACAGCTTATCAATTTCACAGGAATCACTACCATTAAAGATTAATCAGGTAACGAGTTTTAATGACTAATTTGTGTTTAGTCGTTCCTTTCTTTTTTTTTCTCATAATATATGGCACGCATATACACAGAACCACAACACATACGGCGTGGACACTTGCTCATTATCAATAACTGATTTTGGGGTCATGTTACGTTTGCAGTTTTACAATCCAAATCATATCTTTGAAAATTGGCCTTTTTATAATTTGTGATTTTTGCAACTATAGTTCTGTGCAGTTTATTTATTAGTTGTTCTAGTTGTTCTTGGGCAAGTTTTGCCGGATTTATGCATCTATTTATTTATTTAACGTTACGTCTGGCCCAGTTCGGCAAAGATTTTTAGAAAATTAGGCAATTTTGGCTTGAGGCGGTGTCGTACTTCATTCACTAACTTTCTGCGTCCCTGCACTTCACACATTACCACAGGTCAGCTACACCAATGTAAACATCATCAAAAAAATATAAATTAATGGTGTTGGAAAGGAAAAGGGACAAAGAAGGAAGTAGAAAACGAGGAAATCATTCCGTTCACCACCGAATTTTAAATTTGGAAATCTGGTTGATATATATTATAAATACATACACCTTATTTCACCCATTTTTTGATTTTTTTTTTTTTTTTTTTTTCTTCTCTTCCTTCTCTTTTTTTTTTTCTTTTTTTTTTTTTTTTTTCTTATTAAAATTTAATATATATTTGAATGTTTCCTGTAGATTTTCTTACAGACTAAAATAATAATTTTTCAATACAAATTAAAAATCATAACAATTAATATATTATTACGAATAACTAAATTCTTGTTAGCCGAGACGGATGAACCGTTTTTTCCGAATATTGAGCACAATTTATCGGTCTGCAGGCAGCATCAAGTCTGCTTTTATTGGATAAACGATATAAACGATAAACGATTATTGTATCATCGGCAATTAATTATATCATCAATTTCATAATATCATTATCATCATAAAATAATATAATACGAGAAAAAAAAAAAGGAAGGAAAGAAAAGAAAAAAAAAAAAAGTGAGTTAGTGATTGATGTTGTGTTTTTTGTGTCTCGTATGGCAAATGTGAATATCCGGGATCCCCATTTTTGTTTTACTTTTTATAACGATCTTTTTAACGTTGGAAAGCTTCTTTCATCAAAATTTCTCATCTTTGCTTACTAGTATATTTTATGTTATTTGTCGCTCCTTTCATTACAGCCAACTAAAAAAACTTTAGCGGAATAAAGTTCCACTTCTAAAAGAATTTTTGTTTGTCAAACAATCAAAAAAGGGTCCATTTAATCAATTTCCCTTGTATCAGACACTGTACTGGATTTGATTGACTGTAAAAGTAGAAAATCGACCTCGTTCTTGGACAACTGACTAATTCAACATAACCTGCGTGCAGTGTCACAGCCTAACGCAATCTTGGAAGTCAAAATAAAAATCTTGCATATCTGACGTCACTTGAAATAATTTTAAGGCAGGACAAGCGAGGGGGGTTTGCTACTTGTTTTTAACAAACAAACAACGCGTTGACAGGCAGACTGTGGATTACCACCGTTCGAGCAGAATACACCACTCAAGCATTCTAAGTAAAAACGATTTCACCCAGCTAACTGATAGAGCATTTTCAACATAAGGTATGCAAGATGACAATAATGCACACATCTCCCCAACTTCTAACTGATGAAGCCGTTCTCTTCTTTCTTTCCTTTCTTTTTTTTTTTTTTTCTTTCTTTCTAACACAGTAAATGGCAGATACCAGTAGTTATTGGGTAAAATATTTTTTTTATTTTTTTTTCGCCTTATTCCTTTGCTATTAAATGTAGGTTGAAACATAAAAAAAACGAACTCAACCAAAACGTCTCTTCAGGTAAATCCTTTTCAGATGATGCGATTTAGTGGTAACGATGAATACAAACAATCGGAGCTTACCAATAAAGCAGGAGTAGGTGATGACGAGTGCGAGAACGGTGGTAAGTATTCAAGTGTCATCTTTTTCTTCCTCACATTTTAAGCCTTTACGAACGAGAATTCTTAAAATTATAATACGTTACAATTAAAATTGAGGGTTTTATTTATTTTATTTTCGGCATTTACAATACGTTTTGTTCTTGCGAGTCATTGTTCCACTTTCGTTTTGACCTCTTCATCTCGCTTTACATTCGCACCTAACAAATTAAAGTTAATTATAAATACAAACAATACAATTTATCTATGAGCTGAGATAGAAAATTTTAATTCATTACGCTGAGATATTATGATCTCTATCATCATATGTCGTCGTTTATATATATATATATATATAATATATACATATACATATACATCTACATATATATATTATTATATTCTTTTTTTCATTTACCTTTCATCCAATTAATTCCTCTGATCATTATTTTTGAATTATTTAACAGATAATCCCATATTCCGAGCGTATTCGCCTCGACCGTCAACACCTAAAAAATCTTCACCACCAACACCCACAAGAACACGACGTCATTCCTTAAAATCAGAAGAGAAGTATAATCTGTCTTCGCCGCCAAAAGGCTACACTCCAAACAAAATTGTTACCCCTGCAGATGCTGCCGCTGTGCTGGCTGCCTCACTGACATCACACAAAGACAATTTTATAAACTATGATAGTAAAAAATTATATTATTCTCATCCATATAAATATAACGAAGAAAAGCCATCCAAAAGACAGTTAAGGCGTAGTAATAGCTTTAATCACTCTACT